TTTGAGGCTTCTTATGATGATCGTACATGACGAAAGTGCTGGAAAGCCCGAGTAAAACGGATGTGCTCTTAAGATGGCTTAGAGCAAGTGTAGGTGGTAGGGGGGGCGCCTACCACTACAATTACTACTACAACTATTCAACTACTACTACTGCTTAGTAGTAGTAGTAGTAGTAGTAGTTTTCTACTACTACCACAACTACTACTACTACTACTACTACTACTACGACTACGACGGCTACGACTTCTCACGCGCTCTAAGCTTTTCGCATCAGCGAGGCTGCGAGAGCCCGCAAGAGAGACTCCAGAAGCTTTTTTCAAGCGTTCATTTTCTTTTTGAGCCTTTTTTATTTGTTTTTCGATCTTGGGCTATTCTTTTTGATCTTTCTTTATTTTTTTTGATCCGGCAGCCTACGCTGGTACGGTGGTTGCTACATTGTTCCTACGCAAACTGTTCGGGGTGAGTCTGTGGCCCACGTGGCGCGCTTTTGGCCATGGGGTTCCAATGCAATGGTCAGAAGATGGCAGTCTTGTGAAACATCTACGTTGTATCGACCTTGGAGTCGGTAAGGTGGTTCAACTCAGCGTTCGAGAATCAGTGGACTCACTACAACGGGGCGGCATTTTTTACCGTGCATCCGAATTGGCAAACTCGAGTAATCCACCGGTGTCCTCCGCCGTCGATGGCTGGCCGTGTCCTCCGCCGTCGATGGCTGGCCGAGTGGCATGACAACCTGCCTGTGCCATGTCACACCACACTTCACAACGCAACCCACATCAACCAAGGCCACGAGTGCCAACGACACATTCCTCAGTATTTACATACATGTTGCGTCATTGCGTGTGGATGTGTGCCTTGACGAAGATTTCGGTTTGTTCGCCGCTGCTTGCTGCAAGCATTTTCTTTCGCCCAGTCTTGTCCATCAGGACCCGAACTGGCAGGACATGCTGGCAGATGAGTTGCAGCGTGCAGAAGAAGAGCTGAACAATTGGTCTCTGTTCGGACGCTCAAAGAATCCCGGCAGGCTTCTGTCCGAAGTTTTGCAGGAAGATTTCGTTCTGAGGTCCTTTGATTCCACGGCAACGCTTGCAAGGTTGAGCAACAAAGCTGAGGAGTGAGAAGCCTTCTCTCGGACGAAGTCGTATGGTGTTGCTCGTGGCCATGGGCAGCATTTCAGTCATCGGGGCCGCATGCAGGTGTTCAAGAGCGCAATCGCTTCAGCATCATATCGTATTTCACGCTTTCTCTGTCGAGAATCAACGCAAGACTTGACACGAAGTCTACGCATGAAGCATCATTCTGCCATATTTTTCAGACTTGAATGGTTCTCAGGTTGGCCTGGTCATCACTGGTGTTGTGGTTGCCGCAGCGTTGAAAGCAGCTTCGACAACAGAGGAGACATCGAAAGAGTAGCGGAAGCTTCGCAGTGGCGGTCTAACACTCTGAAACAACCGGTTGACTGCGGATTGAGCTGCGAACAGGACGACTGGCCTGAGCCTGACGGACTCCTGCCTGTTTTGCTTTGTCTGTTGCAGATGAACACTCTTACTGTGATGTGCTGCATTGTCTCAACTTCGGACTGCCTGCGGCTGATCTTTTGGCTGATCCTCCAGTCTGTCGCGAGACTCCACTGTCAGGAACCACCACCACCGCTGGATTTGGCACATCTGGTCACGGCTGGCCTGCACCGGCTCCACCGCCGCCGGAGGGTGATTGGCCTTCACCGCCAGCACCGCCGCCGCCGCCCATGAGGCAGCGAGAGCCATTGGGTGGAGTGCCGGAGGCTCAAGTGGATGTTTGCATCAAGAGCTTGAGCGTTTTAAGTGGGTCCTGGGGTCCTTGACAGTACTCAGGAGTCCAAGCATGGCTCCCCGGCACAAACCAGCCATACTTTGCTTGCTCCTGCAGCCGCCGCAGCAAGCGTGGTCAAATTCGCAGCTTTGTCGAAAGGACACTCCCGTGCTAGTGACGCTGGTCAGCGTGCCGTGGCCTCGGATCCCTCTTGCCGCAAGAAGGGACGTGTCAAGTTGTTTAGCCATGCATTCGTGGGCCTGAGGTTATTCCTGGGTGGCGTCTGCTTGCTGCTAGTCTGTGTGCTTGCGATGCGGCGCTGCAGAGTTCGAGCTCGACGTCCAGCGCAAGACAATCCCTTGGAGAGGACGGCCCTCTACCCCCCCACCCCCACGCACTGGCAAGGCTGTATCAAAGGCTGCAAAGCATGCACAGGAGCCAACTCGACTGGGAGGAGAAACTCAAACTCGCCAAGGAGGCAAGTCCAGATTGCAGAGTTTGATTCGAGGGTGCGGGGCTGACTGGCAGGCTGCTGGGGGAGTTGATCTTTCCTGCAAGCAGACTCTGGAAACTCTGACTCCAGGTGTGCTTCTGCGACGGTGCTGCACCCAGCAGCAGCAGGGTGACACTTTGACAGATCAAGTGGCCTTCAGGGGGGCCAGAAGAAGCTTTCCCTGAACAGCTGGCTTGGAGAATCGATGCCCGACAGAGGCATGTTAATGACCCTTCTTCTTTCAGTGTGTCTAGATCGGAAGAGGAGGGACTTTGCATGGGCTGGTACAGACCTTGGCCCAACAAGGAGAATGACTCTGTGATGTACAGTTTGCTGATGCAGTTTTGTTAGGCTCTGGCTTAGCCTCGTCTTCAGCAGGATCGTCTTCCATCTGGTCGTAATGTGTGCGGTTGGATGTTTGCGTGCCGCGTGCATCCAGCATTGTAAGCCCTGTTTGGGATGGCCGTATGTGCTGACATGGCACATTGCAGACTTCCAACACTCACGAATATGAAAGCCTGTGTTTAGCCAAAGGCTAGCATGGCGAGGCCGGTGCTAGAGCATCACTGAAAAAGGGAGCAACTTAGAGTCGGGTAGGCTGAAAGTTGGGGACCTGTACCTCATGTTCTGGTGTGGACTGGCACAGTTTGTATCTACCAGACAGAGGAGCTGCTGAAAGCTCAAGCGCGTTTTGGACAGGCCGAGACGGCAGAGACCGATGGCAAAAGCACAGCCGATGGCAAGGGTCCCACGCCGGCACTGCCGGCACCAAAGGCCTTGGCTAAGAGGGTTAAGAGGGTTCGGTTGGGGCATGTTGGGACCTCCGCAAACCCGGGGGCGAAGTGTTCCCGGCTGCAGCATAGTGCAGAAAGAAGCAGCCACGAGGATGTAGGCCGGGTGACATGGCAGCTGAGATTATGTCATAAGTAGGATAAGTCGCGCTTGTCAGCCGAGCTGTTGGTCTGCCCATATCAGCCGTCAGCAGTTGGTTCCTTGCAGAAAATCAGATGCGTCGGTATTGCCAGCAGTGTGTTTGAGTTTGCTACAGCGGCCGCTTTGCACCGGGCTATAGTATTCTTCGATGACCAGGGAGCCTGACCGGAATCATGCTTAGTCGGGTCAGATTGGGGGACTGGCTCTGATTTTCTGTTCGGCTTGCGCAGGTGGCCACGATGGTCATTGAATCTGACTCGGACACGGAGAAGGGAAAGGCATCCTGGCAAGATCTGGCCAGTGGGTTCAAACCGCGGAGTCCAAGAGAGGCTTCTCTCGCAAGGCTCCAGCTCCGGCTCCCCCAACAGCGCCACCAGCGGCAGCACCCCCTGCCGCGGCGCCTCCACCTCCTGCCGCAGCTGCACCGGCGCAGGTTCTTTGAAATTCGAGTCGAACTTCAGGTTTGGTCGAGAAGAGATTAGGCAAATGCAGGCTTTGCAACAGGCAGTCATAGAATATCATAGAATCAGCGAAGAGCCGACACCTCTTAGCAGGCTTCTGCTTCCTGAGTCCACTCTGTCCCCTTGGACTCCTTCGGGTTGAGGTCAGGCGCGTCTTGTATCCTGTCGAAGGAAAAAGAAAAGTCAAAGAAAGAGAAGAAGGAAAAGAAAAAGAAAGCCAAGAGCTCTTCGTCTTCGCTGGGAGCTTGGGATTGCTTGGGATGCCAGGAGTCATCCGCCGGCTGTTTTCAGCAGTCGTGAGTGCATGTAAGAGTCTTGCAGTGTCATTGGACAGCTTGTAGCCTTCGGCTGTAATCAGCAGTATTCCGTATGCCACAAAGAAAGAGCCTTCAAGCTCGTGGTCTGGCTGTGTTAACGACGAAGTGTAGCACCTCCCCAGGGACAGCGACAGCGATTCGGATGCGCCGAAGAAGAAACGGAGGACCGGCTGCGCCAAAGTGCCAAGCCCATGCGGACTTTGACGGCCTTGCTGCAGACTAATCTCAAAGCAGTTCGCATCATCCGAATTTTCCGAAGGATCAACAACTTCAGCTCCCTGCGGAATATCGAGAAGGAACGAGTGTGGCCAGCGCGCTTTGCAGAGTACCAGCTACCCTGATCATGAAGTTGTACGTATGCAAGCCGGTTCAGCACTCGACTTCGCTATGCATCTCTATGCCAGGCGGAGGTGCGCAAAAATCGCAATGCTGGCGCGGACGCCGCCGCGGCAATGCTGAAAGCGAGAACCTTACGTTCGTTAGATTCGCTGACACTGCTGACTATTGCATTATTGGCTGCTTCTTGCCTTAACAATCTCAGGCGCTCAGCGACAACCCATACTTTGCCCCCTAAGGCTGGAGAGTTTGGAAGCGACTGATCATGAGCTGCTGACAGTGTAGAGTTTTTCTTTTGGCATGGCATGCACGCACTCACGATGGCATGATTTCACGCGCGATGCAGGCCAGAAGATCAAATCTGACTTCGCGGATGCGCCAAACCTCGCAGATCCGAGAGCTGTCGAGCTGGTAGAAAACCTCCAAGGTATGTTTCTGAGACCAGCAGGTGGCACCATGCCACACGGATGTCTCTGCGAACTATGTGAGATCAAAGTCTTGTTGCCACCGTGTCTTCCCATCTTGCAGGCACTGGAGGACTAGCAGACAGGCACTACAGTTTCTGCACAGCATGGCTTCGATATCCTCCTTTGGGCTCAAATCGTAGGGCCTGTGGAGTGGGCAGATGTGACAAGGCAGACTCGACCTGGTCATTGCTGGCTTTGTGCCATGCAGCCTCAGGCCCACCGTGGCACCCTGTGCCCTGGCGTCGGCTGATGCTTGTTGCCCCGTGCCGTGCCAGGTATTCTTGACCGCTTTGCCAGTCTTCGTCATTTTGCGCTACAATCTGCAACTCGGGCTGCGCAAAGGTGCCCGACGCTTCTCCAGCCTGCCATCTGTTTCACCGGCCAAGGTGCGAAGATCCGCTGCCCAAGAAGGTGCTGAACCCATCTGAACCCGGTTGAACGATGACATCCACGGCTCACACACTCCTACGCATCAGCCAAGGTTGTGCAGACACCGTCGGTGCTGCCCAGCCTCACTCCACAGTCGCAGGCGGGATCTTGCACACCTCCCTGTGGTGATGGGAGTATGCAGCTAGAATTCTGGAACTTCCGTCGCGCATGTCTCGGCGAGTTGTGAGGCCACATATGCCTGGCAAGCAGAGGGCAAGGCGGCAACAGTATCAACACATTGATTGGATTCAGATGTATTCCCCGAGCTGCGTGTGTGCCCGCAAGGCATGTTACACAGCATTTGACACATTGACATCGTTGTGATCTGTTGGCATCCGGCTTTGCATTCAGGATTGACCGAAAGTTAATAAATGCTTTGAGAGATTGAGCATCATGCAAGAGGAGATCTTGATGTTAGAATTTTGCAGGCCAGTCCGGCGACGGACGTCCGGGAGTGCAGGGATCTTGGCATTTGCAGACCTGGCGTAGGGCTCGAAAGAGAAGGGACCCGACTTGAAAGCTCTGACCATGGTGAACATGTCCGGTCAGGTGGCTTTGGAAGCTGTCTGGCCGCTGGGCCAGGCTGCATTCCAAAAGGTCGGTCGGCATCATGTGTCGCAAGTGCCTGCTAATGCAGTAGTTCATCACAGAGCAGAGATCGCCCTCCGCATCGTCAACGGTCTCAGTAGTTGCACACGTTTGATGGGTGGGACGTTGCAGTTCACAAGCGATGTGGGAAGCAGGCTCCATGGCTGCTCTCTGCGAGCCTTCACAGGGCAAGCCGGGCAATGTGAGCTGGTTGCAAGTGAACGAAACTTGGCCAACTATGCCGATAAGCTGACGGCAAAGCGCAGTGCATGCCGCGAGAGCTTAAAAACCTCTTGAGGGTGCGGCTGCCGCTGCTGCAGTGCTGCATATGCGAGTTTTCAATACCGCCTGGCAGCTAATCAGAAATTCAGGTAGCCCTAGCTGCAGTCTTCCATCCCAGCACGAGCTTTTCATTCGTCAGAACGTGCCATTTCACTCGTCAGAACGTGCCAGAGGTCTTCAACGGCAAAAGCTGATTCTGGATGGAAAACTCATATCTGCTAAGGCTTTATGTTCTCACTGCGTGCGGCGAATTGCCAGGCTGGAAACTCGAGGCCTGCAGGACTCTTGATTCCATGGTGATCGTGGCACGTACCCGAACCTGTCCATGCTGAGTGAAGAGTGTGCGTTCAGTCTTGCCCCAGACGGCTAGAGCAACCCATGCCACAGGTGCAGTCACACTCAGCATGGGCTACGGATTTCAATGTTTCTGCAACAGAGCCGCTGCAACTTGCGATCAGAGAGTGTCTTGCTGACAGAGATACGGAGGACCAGGCAAGTCATGCAGCTGGCCATACAATTACAAGTTGCAGTAAGCTGCGCTGGATCAGCGATGTGCAAAGCGTCGTTGCACGGAATACCCACCCGAATACGCTTCAGTCGCACTATCTTTGTGCTGCCGGTCTCAGAACAAACCTCCTCCGCCTATCAAGGCCTAAAGGAACCTGTTGAGATTTTGTTCGTGACCTGAACCTGCACTTCCTGGAGCTGCCATGGCCCCGATGCCTCAGAATCCAGGAAGCAGATGCAAGGTTGTCCGGCTCTTTCTCTTGCCACACGTCAAATGCAAAGAACGATTCTGGGTTGTCAATCAGCTCGTCTCAACTAAACAGCCTTGAGTTGCAATCCAGATTGGTCGTTTGGTGGCACCAGCCCGGCTTGACAGACGGCAGCAATGCTGTTGTGCTTCATCAGCTGAGCACGTACATAAGATTGTAGTGAGCTTCATTTAGTGCTGTGCACTGCTTCCCCTTCATCGTTTGAGCTTCCTGCAAAGTTCAGCTCCTTATCCGGCAGAGTGGGTGCCATGCTACATCAAGACCCGGAAAAAGACAACACATGCATCAGTGACGAGAAGATGTGCACGACACTGGAGGCGGTGATATGACGATTGAGTCTGTGTCAGTCAGGCTGTGAGGCAACGAGATCAGATGTGCTTGAATACGCCCCGAGATGCCAATAGAAGCAAACTGTCACGGGCCACCGAGTCCCTTCTGGGATTCTTCCTTTGAGCGTGCACGCGAGCTGCACAGAAATGCTTGGAGACATCAGAAAAGCCGTGTCAGCGTGAATACTCAGGGCGACTTGTCATATAGCCGAAGAACACATTGACATCAGAATTGGGAGATCGGAGCCACAATGCATCGTTCCCTCGCAAAATCGTGTCATATTATGACCAAGAATCTAAAAATATCAAGCTACTAAAGTATGTCGTGGCTTTGATATCATATATTCATTCATTCTTATTATCTATATTTTCCCTTCAGCCAAGAATCGATGTATTTCTCATAACAAATAATTCAATAAAAAGATGAATTTATCCGGTGTAGTTATAATTTTTAAAAAATAAAGGTCTTCTACTCTGTTACTACTCTCTATAATTCTGGATTCCTGCGCTCTTGCACTCTTATAATTCGTTCCCCTATATTATTAAAGCCTCCCCTAAAATTAAAACTACCGCCCTTGGAAATTTATGGTTTTGGGTCTAGTTGATTTAAAATATTAGGGGGACTTAGATTTATATGAATTTTAATAGGAGGAAGATTATAGTAGTATTGAACCGAAAGGAAAAAGGCTATAGGGTTTAGGGGCTTAGAGTTGAGGATTTAGAGCTTAAGCTTCTAGCACTCAGGGTCAAAGACTGAAGTAAGGTTTAGGGTCTAAGGCTTTAGAAAATAGGTATTAAGGGAAAAGGTTTGGATAACATAATTAATTAATTAGGTAATTGGGGCTTGGAATTTTAATAAAAGTGGTCTTGAGGATTACTTAATTATTTGGGACTACAGGTAGGCTGATTGTTTGCTCTATAACTGGAACGGCTGCGTAGGAATCGGTCGTTGTCTCTGATTGTCTGACTCAACCCAGTTATTATTAATTAGTTATAGTCCTACCCCCCCTGCCCCGCCCCAGTGCGCCCAAACACCCCCCAAAATCTTCCTAATATTAAAACCAACCCACCGAAATCTAGTTTTGATATTAGGGAAAGAAGGGGCCTTTTAATAACAGGGAGAATAGATTACTCCTACAGACTTATGCCTCTTTACCCTTGTATTCTTTTTCTCTTGCATCCTTATGCCCCTATACTCTTACCATTCTTCTAGACTCCTATTACACCCTTACAACCCTACCCTGCACTTCTACACCCCCATACCCCTGCCCCCACACTCCTGCAACGATTCAGGAGTATTATGTAGGGGTGCAAGGGTATAAGGGCGTAGGGTGCAAGAGTGTAGGGGTAGAGAGGAGTGTAAGAGTGTATAGTGCAAGAGTAGAGTAAAGGAGTGTAGGAGTAGGGGCGGTAGGGGCGTAGGAATGTAGGGGTCTAGAAATAAAAGGATGTAGAGTTATAGGGGTGCAGAGATGTAAGAATGTAAGAGTGTGAAGGCAGGAGAGCGTAGAGAAGTAGGAGCATAAAACTTTAAGGCTGTAAGAATGCAAGCGTGCGTAGAAAATAGGGGTGGATGTAGAGACTGTACAAGAGTGCAGACGAAGGGTTATAAGAGCGAAGGAATTAAGGGCAAGGGTAGGATAAGAGAGTATAGGGAGCACATTATATCGTGAAATGTTACCGGTCTTATAACGTACATAAAATTATACTTTACCTATAATACGAATATTTATAGAACTAATATCTCACTAGTTTCATAAAAAAAAATCATATATGCATAAGAACTCCTAGAACATACTTACGAATATACAGAAATTTAAATATACGACTACAAATAAATCCCAATATCAATTTTTTTATAGAGTAAAATCAATAAATAATCATCTATCCCTTCTAATATATCTATATATTTCTTGAAAATAATATCTCTATTATTCTAAAGAAATTCTCAGTTATATCTTTAATAATTCATCTATTTAATTGGACATTTATAAATATAATATAATGAAATCTATTTAGAAATAAATCTAGAATATATAATTTCAATTTATAATATTTTTATGAATAAGAATTTCATCTAACTCTATTTCATAAGAAAAAATAAATATTTAATCAAATAATCCAAAAATAAATATTCTCTATCAAAAGATCCATAAACTCTATATATCTATAGAGAATCCTATCTAAAAATGAGAATTCAGAATCAGAATCCTTTCAAAATCTATAAATTATTAAATGATATTCGAATCGAATTCATTGATATTTATTTATCTTATATTCCATTTATATATTCTTCGATATAATGAAAAATTTTAAAAATTCATTGAATGAAAGAATAATCTAAACCAAACGATACCTGCCTATGTTCGTCTTTTGAAAGTTAAATAAAATATTTCAATTTCGTATTCAGAATAAGTCGATTATAATTGATATAATATAGATAAAAAATAAATTGGTCGTTGGATTCTCTTGGATTCCGAATGGGTATGGCTCGTGTAGCGAGCGGTAAAAGGAAAATATAAATTTGCCAGCCGCCAAACGCATTGTGCGACATGAGGGGCGGGCTGCAGAACTGGGCGCGAAGGCCCGCAGCTGGTTGAGGTGTCCTGTACATGTGGGGTTTATGCACCCAGACACTCCTCAAGACTCAACCAGAAAGCAGGAATATTGTTCATTCAGCTGCTGTAGTAGGATTTGCTGTAATACGACGGCGCCTTTTTCTGGAAGTGTTTCTTGTCCGAGCAGGGCCGGAAGAACTTGTTGCACGCAAATGCGATCCGCCATTTGCGACACTTCGCCAGCCAAGTCTGGCAGTGCCATTCAGCGGGCACTTCAGTGGGCCCTTCAGTGGGTCCTTCTGTGACCGGCCCTGTCGCTGTAGGTGTCGAGATGCCAGTCGTCTCAACGACTAAGGTTCTAATGCCACTGTCGGCACTTGCGGAGGAGATGTCACTTGTCAAAGCAGCAAAACTTGCATTGCCAATGTTGCCGATGATTTCTTCTATCCCATAGATGTGCAGGCTGGCTTGCGGAATAGTGACCAAGAATTCCACTCGCATTGGATCCAGCCGCTGGCTTCGCATGTCCTCACTCTCTAGGAGAGAAGCACCACATTCAAGCTGTGCAGTGATGAACGAAACCGGCAGGCGCAAGTTCTTGGCCACACCTGCAGCAACAGCGTCGGAGGAGTTTGGGTCGGCAATGAACTCTGTGCAGTTTGACAACGCCATCCAGACCGTGCCGCTGACCTGAGTTGGCCCAGACTGTCCAAACTGGCAAGTGCTTGAACTGGACGTGCATCTTTGACCGTCTGTGCATGTGGCAGTTCCACATGTGCATGGATAGCTTGAGCTGGACGAGCTCCCATCGATGACACTGCAGTTCGCTGCCTCTGAGCCCTTACCACAAGCTACACAGTTTTGGCCAGGGTAGTTGTAGAATGCCGCACAGTGGCCGTCTCGCCTAAACGAACTGCTGCCTTGGCATTCCTGTGGTACTGCCGAAAAGCTCAAGTACGCTTCATTGCTGCACCACCCTCTGGCAACGTAGCTCGCGCAACCCAGACCGAAATGGTTCTGCCAGTCGGGGGTATCACCAACCTCAAGCGTCATGCTTTTGACCTCAAAAATCTCATCACAAAGCATCCTCCACATCTGAGTTCCCATCGGCGGCTTGGTGCCTTGGGAAGCAATTCCAGCCATGTAGCTGCACGCTCCGTCATCATCAAGGTCTGAAGATCTTGAGGTATTAGGTGGGCTGGTGCCCAGAATCCACCTTGCGTATGCGCCGTGCCCATCGCAATCAGGATCAAAATAGAAGTAGTGGTCAGTGTCGGCCCTGTAGAATGTGCCATTGGAAGAGCTGACATAGATGCCATTTGTGTCTGCCTCACAATGGCCACTGACCACAATGGCTTCGACTCTTGGGGTTGCCTTGAGAGGATCCGAGGGATCGAAGACCGGGGGATCCGGGATGACCGGGGCATCCGGGAAATCTGAAATCTCTGTGATGTTTCCGACCGTAAGTAACTCTGCAAGCGCAGCTTGTCGACCAAAAGCCGTAAAGCCACACAGTGATAAGGCCTTGTTGCCGTTGTGTTGGACCTGAATCCGTGAGCCTGTCCCAACACAGGGCACGTTTAGGGCCTGCCCACCTCTCACATGCACATTCGATGCGCATGTGCTGAAGCTGCTGCTCCCAACATTCCCAATCAGGATATTGACGTCTTGCAACATTTCCTCGCAGCAGTCTGCACGATGGAGAAGAGTCACGCTGGTGAACTGCCACATCTGCAAAGTCCACCCTGTACCACGCACCCGGTTCCACGTCGGTTTGGATGCAGGTTCCTGGAAATGCCGAGCTCTTTGAAGGAATGTCGTAAACACTGGATTGCCTAACCATCCCCCGAGATATCCCAGAACATTTGAGCTGGCGCTTGGTCTCATCGATGGCCACATGCCGGGAATAATGCTATTCTCATATATGCAGACATGACGGAATTTGTCCGGGAACCATGCATGCCAATCTCTCCATTGCAGGTAGCGACCATACACGTGGCAGCCTTGCGGCCCCCAAGTGGCAAGGTTTTCCCAGGTCCAATCCAGTAATCCTAAACTGCTGCCAGAAGTTCGGCACTCTGCATTGGTCAGTGCTCGAGCCGGCGACGTGCACACCGGAGGAGGGCTCGTCTGCCACTCATGCTCCTCAGATACGAAATACCCGGCACAATAGCTGTCACTGGCATAACATCTTTGTCCCTTTGTGCACTCGGTCTCCCCACATACACATGGGTACGCTGAACTTGCTGCACTCCCATCCACGATGCTGCAAACCTTGTAGCCCACGCGGTATGTGATTCCTTGAAATGGCGGAATCAATGCCGCCGACCTCTTCAGCCAGCAATATCTTGTTCCGCTGGAACCCAGATCACGGACCCAATACTCGCATTGAGGGTTGGCATTGCAGAGTTGACAGCAGGCGCCATCCAGCTCAATGTCATTGCGGCCAGTCCTTGCAAACTGCAAACTGCAGTCGAAGGCTACACGGCACACCGACTCAAGTTTTGAAAACACATGCAGTGGAAAGCAAAAAGACCCTTCAAAAGACCTTGGCTTGCTGCCTCACACCTTGCAGCAGAAGCCACACGCAAGCCTTCTCTGAGCGGTGACGAGCAGAACGTCCGGCCAAACCCACTCCACTGCACAAGCTACACGGAAGCACTAGCATTCGAGTTAGGCACTAAAACCTGGCAAGCGTCACTATGGTCTTGCGAACGTCCGTCCCGCTCACAGTTCCTTCGTAACGTGCTACGCATTCCCGAGATCCACCGCCGCAGGCACAGCAGGCTTGACCTGGACGCATGCCGAACCGACTTCTCGTTATCAAAGTTCCCCATTTGCACGTGGCAGGCTGCGCTTTATACCAATTGCAATCGTACGGAGGACCTCCGCCATCATACCACTTCGTCTGCCCCGCTGGAACCCTGTCAAGGCAAGGCTGGCACCAAGTAGTTCGCAAAGCCCGGGCTGCATGAGGAGCAAATCTCGGCATTGTTCAGGGAACATTGCGCCCCTGTTGCTGCAACACCGTTGTTGCAATGGCACGTGTTGCGCTGACAGTGGAAGCCAGCCGAACAAGAAGCGCATCTCTTGACATTATTTTTGTAGCATGCCGACCCTGTTGCACCTGCACCGTAGGGGCAGTAACAGTAGTTGGCCCTGCATGATCCTCCGACCACGTGCCAGCCAGGGTTGCAAGAGCTGCAAACACGATCTCCATTGTTAGGACAAGACGGCCCTGCTGCGCCAGCACCACCGTCGCATGTACACTTGTTAAGCTGGCATGACGTGCCACTCCGGTAGTAGCCCACATCGCATGAGGCACACCTTTCACCACCCCAGGTCGGGCAAGTAGACGTTTCTGGAGATCCATTAGTGCATGTACAGGCGCTGCCCCTCCTGCAAATCCTTCGCGGTCCGAAACTTATGAAGCCGGTTGGTCCCTGGGCCTGCATGTCGAAGTTGAAATAAACCCATTCCGACCGGATGTAGCAACCTGGCCACAAGCCAGCGTGACTCGATGCGTAGCTAAACTTACGCCATTTCGAATCTCCGAAATCGCGAATCGGAACTCGCCTGCATTCATAGTAATCTAGGACTGCCGTCCATCCACTGGGGCAAATGAAAGCCTCTTTATAGTCAGGCCCCCGCACTGCCAACATCCCCAGAGCACTGGCACTCGGGGCAGTCGCAGTCGGGTAAGTGCAAGCGGTACCACTGGTCACACTATACACTGCCGCTGTCCACAAATGGGTGTGCCGAAATTTCTTTCATACTTGACCCAAACTGCACCCTGGTCACCCTCTGCCCAGCGGCAAACAAAACCTGGACTCACGGGCGCTGTCGCATCATAGGTGGCAGAGCCAGTGTTCTCCATGTCCGGTCGCACCTTGTAGTCCTGCATCAAGAAGGTTCGGCCACTCCTTCCGTATGCGGAGAGGATCACGTTGCTGTTGAAGGTGATGGTGACCACCCCATCCTGAACTTGGTACAAGTGTCCACCAGGATTCCGGAGGTACGCATCCCAACGGCCCAAATAGATTCCTGCTGAGAAAACTGAGCCTGCCACAGTGGTCGTGATGGTGGTCGAGGGGTAAATGCACTGCGTGCCACTAGGAATGGTCGCAATGTCTTGTTAGCTAGCCTCTTTCACCCAAACAGTGCTACCGCGACCGCTTTCCCACTTGAACCAAATGACGTCGTAGTGGTAACTGCTGTTCCAGCGGCAAACGAGACCTGGCACATATGGCGCCGAGCCATCGTATGTTGCGAAGCTGGTGTTCTGCATGTCTGGAATCAGCTCCACGTCTTGCAGCATGAGAGTTCGTACTCTTCCACCACTTGGAGATGGACCCAAGACCACATCACTGTTGAAGGTGATGGTGACCACGCCCCCTCAACCTGGTAGCTGTGCCCAGACGTGTTTGCAACCGGAATCTGGAAATAAGTGAAGAATGGCACTGGCGCACTGGTGGTTGTTGTGGCTGTGGTTGCGGCTGTTGATGTTGTAGCAGGTGTGGCACTTGTTGTGGATGTGGTTGCGGCTGTTGACGTTGTAGCAGGTGTGGCAGTTGTTGTGGCTGTGGTTGCGGCTGCTGATGTTGTAGCAGGTGTGGGCACTGGGGTTGTGTTGAGAGGCGGGACGGGAGGTGGCGGAAGCGGAGTGTCCTGTGTGACTCCGCAGACAGGCGCGTAGCTGTCATTGTTCACGCCCCCGACAGCGAATTGGAACCAAGCATCGCCACTTGTAGAGAAGATGCAGCCACACGCACTTTCTGGGTACCCGGAAGTTCGATAGGTCATTCCGAGAATGTTTGCTGCTTGTTCACACTCGGCAGTAAGCAAGGATCCGAACGGCAGACAGTCATCCGCTCCATAATCGAGCACCGCATATGTCCCACAGGTACTTGAACTGGATGTGCAAATGTAATCAGGTTGGCAAGTCGCATTGCCACACGTGCACGGATAGGCATAGCTAAAGCCGCTTCCATTGGTGATGCTGCACGGCATGTCCCGGCAGGTGTTTGCAGCAAAGCTGCATGCCTGGCCAGCTTCGCAGGTCGTCTTTCAACATGTGCATGGACAGCCTGAACTCAATGTGCTCCCATCAATGGCACTGCATGGCTATTTGACGTCGCATATAAGCCCATAGTTATCATTGTTCACACCGGCACCCACCAAGTTAAACCACACCTCGAGACTCGTGGAAATGATGCATCCAGGCGCCGTTCCGTCAAAGAAGCCTGAGGTACGGTAGGTCAAGCCCAAAAGAGATGCCGCGGCTTGGCAAACCTCTGCCGTCGTGATCGGGTCCATGCCATGTACACATTCACTCGAGAAATCTGTTACATACTTCAGAGCTAAGCCGCTGCGGTTTGTCAAGATGCTTGTCAGGCGACTCACATCCAAATCAAGCAACGAAGCCACAAGTTCGAGCTCTGTATCATCCCTCGACTTCCTGAAATTCCCGGGGTGCCGTGTCTGGATGGAAGCAAATACATCGCCGTCATGCTGTCCAGGTTGTCCAGCTTCTTCCGCAAGCTTGCATGTGTGGGACTTGTCCGACCTGTCCTCGAGGTCAAGATGATGGAAGCCAGCTTGTGCCACAACAGCGGCCAGCTTCGTCACACAGCATATTGTAAGCCATAGCTTCGATCGCAGCCAAATCATGGCTAAACACCTCCACTTGAGACAATTAATCCGCGAGAATGCATATCGATGCATGTGCGACTATTGCTGGTGCGTTGCTTGAGCTCACTACTGTAGCATTATCTGACGAGCCAGTACGGCTGTCGCGGTGGAGAGGCACGAATGGCGCTTTGTGCAAGAGGCGGACTACTCATGAGCAGGTGCCTGGCTTGAAGCTTGCTAAGCAATAAGCACACTAGAGTAGAACAGGTGCCCTTGGATGCATTTTTCCTCTGCTCATGGAAAAGTCAGGAAGCCGTGGGTTCCCTCGCAGAACACATCCCAGCGTAGTACTCGTAGTAGTAGTTGTTGTTGTTGTTGTTGTTGTTGTAATGACGACGCCTCTTCGATTTAGACGCCTGACATCGCCAGACCACACAGTACCCTCCAAATCTCTTCTTCCAAAGTCAAGCAAGTCCTTCCCTGTGAAAAACACTGCTTCGCGTTGGCCGATGGAGAAGACCACGAGGGCGTCGACCACGGCGGAGACCTAAGGTGCCTTCAAAATCTTCCCAGCATCAAGCTTGGCGAGCTGTGTTCATGGACAGTGTGTGCTCGCCATACCTCCCATGCCGCCCAAGTGAGATTCCCATTGGAAGCGGCAAAGACCTCTGTAAATGTCGTACAGCCATCACAACCGGTGCCAGCGGTGCTCCTTGAAGCCCCTGTTGAGCGCGCTCAAGCCAGTGGCAAGGCATGAAGCAGGTGACTGCCATAGAGCATCTGACCTTCATTGATCGAAGAGTCATCTGACACTGCTACTAGCTACCACTTTGAACCGCCGACCTTCTGCACAAAGCTCCACTTGCGTCAAGCACGTCTGCCTTAGAATGCAAACTCTGAACACAAACACATGCTCAACAAGTGTCACATTCCTGATTTGCGCCTGCTCGGAAAATTCAGCGTGCCTGAGCTCCGAACCCTACTGCCTTTGCTCTGCCCAAGTCCCCACTGCTCAGAACCACCGGGGCCTGCATGTTGTTGGACGCGTCTTGCTGCGGTCCTGGCGAGCTGCGAACAGATGCAGTTCAGCCAAGGTGCTAATCTGTGCCAGTGTCGGACGCAAAGAAACGCTGTCGCTTGCATTGTCTTCGTCTACGCTGGAAAGCTTTCGTTGTTTGTCTATTTCTTGCCTTCCAGAGCCAAACCCAGCAAACTAATCAGCACTGTGATCACCGCGAACAAAATTGCAAGGATCACAACAAGTAGTGGAGCACACGCCATCTGCACCTTGCACAAGCTGTTTGCAGCTTTGTTCACTGCCGCTCCTCGCCACACGTGATGACACGACGGCGGCTTCAACGCAGCAGCGTTCGAGATCGTTGGAATCCTGTGGAACCATGGCCAGCAACACAATAACGAAGGCTCTTGCAAGTATGCAGTTTATTTCGAGCGGATCCTCCAACACTGTGCAGTGTGCCGCCGCTGGCAGGTTGCAGTACACATCGTCAGGTAGGTCCGGCAATGTGAACTTTGGCCCTCTGACAGAATCAGATTCCTGCATTCGTCAAAACACCCGCACTTGATTCACCATGCCGATGACCCACATGTCAGCAAAGCACAATCCATCACTTTGCGAGTCCTGAGCGACTTGGCTACCCTCTGTCGTGCTGGACGGATGAGAAGAGAGAGCCTACATCCCGAACGAGTCACACAAAGTTCAAGGTGTGCGGCCATCTCTCACAGCGGATCCTCCTGTGACATGCACTACTACTCGCAAGAGACCCTGTGCGCAGACTGACCTGGATGGCTGTCTGCCAGAAGGCCATATCATCCTCTTCAGTGGCGGCTGAATGATTGGAGGGGGAGTGTGACATGCCACACATCGCACACAGGTCCTGAAGCAACATCGCATTCCATCGCTGGACATCTTGGCTGATCCGAACCAGGGCAGCGCAGTCCATGACCACAAGCTGACGTACCAAATCCTCGTGCGAAGGCAAAAATGTGTGCAGGGTAATAGTCGGAATGCTCTGTGCCGACTACAACAAGCTCGCGATGTCTCTGCTTCAACCGCAGTTTCAGCGAGGCAAGCTCTTCACGTTGCTGATTCATTTCACGCTCTGTATGAGAACTGAAAGGCGCAAGGCACAGATGCAAGGCACAGATGCAAGTCTTAAAGTTAGGATGCTGGGGTCTCAAAGATGACAACAGAGACGACAAAGAACTTCACCAGACAAGCAAAGGCCGTCCGTCCCCACGTTTAATGCAGGATTGCATAGGATTGCAAAGCTTGCGCAAAGCAAATGGGCGGCAGGCAGCAGAGCGTGTCTTGTCAATGGCGCTTGTAATCGTTGCGGCGATCGCGATAATTAGTGACAGTGTTGCTGGTGGCGTTCGTGGTGCCGGTTGCGATGGCGATGGCCCTAGCAACGATGGCGACGAGGAGCTGGAGGATAGGTCGACCGGCGGAAACTCAACGAAACATGCTCCAGCCCCAGGGGCATTCTCCTCCGCCCTGTCTGTATTGCTATGCTATGCCTCTTCGGAGTGTGCATGTCAGAATAAACAACGAAAATCCTGCTGGTGACGGTGCATGAACAAATCATATCCTACATACTAACTCATATGCAAGCGTCCACTGCGCTGCCAAATCGCTTTACATAAGGATGTCCTTGGCACCGGCGCTTGAGAAACGGATACAGTGACACTGCACAGTGTCTTGACTAGCACACCATCGCAGGCTGGAGGCTGAAGAACGACGATTGATTCAAGCGATGCGTCACCCTAACCTAAGCAGCGCTGTGCCGGAATCCTACTGGCAGCACCCACCGCTGAGAACCCGTATCTCGCGGAGAATGACTCGGCCGAGCACAGACTTGCATAGCATCTGCGTCCACGTCTGATGCTGTGCCCAGAGACCACAACCCCATTCGCTGTGCAGAGCCGAGATTGATGCCTGGTGACACTTGAAATCCATCTTTGGACTCCAAGCAGAGGCCTAGATTGCCGGACCCAAAAAACCCAGGAGACGCTCGACACGAAATCTTGCACCGAGATCCGCAAGAAAACGTCTGGAAGCTGTACAATGCGTAGAAGCGAAGGAATCGCGTTAACTGAATCTGGCCTTTCGGGAGCGAAAAACAACTTAAGCTTTGAGAGTGCCACCGGTATGGTTTAGGGCTTGGGGATTTTGGGACGAATTCGAATCTTACCCTCCCTGAGTTCCAGAAGGCTTCAGGGCACCCGGACGGAAGCGCCTGAAGCTCTAGATCTGGCATGAACAGGGGAATTTCCATTGTGACCAGATCTTTGAAGGTCCTGAGTTGGTAGAGCCTTGCGGCATATTGCAGTCTCACCAAGTCTATGTCAGAGGCCTTGGGCATCTTTAATCCATGAATGAAGTCCAGTCCCAAGCACAACTTGCCATACCAAACTCGCGGAATAAACACGGCGGCTCTATGTGAAGCAATCTCCGTGTAGGAGAGCCGTTCTGTGCTGTACGGAAGCAATCGAAATCTCCACGGGGAAGCCTCGGATGGCTTGCTCAACAGCGCCCCTGTCACGGACCGGAACAGAGAAGCGCTCAAAAGGAACTGTTCGAGACTAGCATAAGCCAGCTTTGAGGCACCAACTGCAATCGAGGAGCAGGTTTCCAGCCAACGGCGGGAACCAGCTGTGTTAGCAAACTGAAGAAAAGGTGGCCATGCACGGTCGGCGCGAAGCGACCTTGCGTGAGCGGAGGAGCGAAGGAGCGGAGGGAGACACTTAGGATCTTGCAGAAAATCTGCCATATCGCCTAGTGATCCCTCGCGCATGATGACAACATCAGCCATGTCGTGGCACCTGGTTCGGAGGAGATACAGAGACAGTTGACAAGCCGGTCCGTTCTTGCAAACTCGGGCTCTGGCCCGGAGTACCGATCTTCAATGTACAGCGATGGAAGCCACACGAAAGGGTGAAAGTTGCCATGCTCCTGCCAATGAACTAGCAGGGCGCGGAAGGGTCTGTTGAGGCTATGGCAATCTTTCCTTCGTTTGGTTGGGTCCTCCAGCTCAAAGTTTCCGTAGGATCGAGCCATATCCTCCCTTACCCAGAGATGCCGCAGTTGGCGGCCCTCACTGACAGCTGCAGCCATGGGCTCCACCACATCCTGGCATGCCGAAGAGAGATTGTACGGGTAGTAATGCAGGCAAATTCGTGCATGTCACCTGTTTTACTTTGGCAGCGGCTGTGAGGTCCTGACGAAGAATTTGGCGTGCCTGACTCACTGCGAAGTCGGGCGGTCCACCAAGGTCATGACGCATTAAGCACAAGGAGATCAACGGCTTGCCTCGGCTTTAACCATGTGAGAGAAGGCATGTAGAATGATGTAGAATGTAGCAGCGTCACTGGAACATTCACTGGTTGCTGTGTTGTCGAGTTCAAAACACAGGCCCAGTGTCGTCCAGCGTTCGCCACAAGGAGGCTGACGCAAAGCCAAAGAGGCGCAGCGCATAACAAGACCTGCGATTCCGGATACCACCATTCGAGGAAGAACTGAAAGTCAAATGTGGAATGGAACACAGCATGGGAAATTCCGAGACACCTCACCGCTGCGCATCCGAGGATGCCACAGGAGCTTGCGAAGTCGTGTCAGGAAGTCGGCATGGTCCAGAGAATCGGCCGACCAAACCTCGGCTTCCGGTGTCTCAGCAACTTCAGAGCAGGTTTCTTGAACCAAGGCAGGCAACCACGTTTCCAGCAGCTTGACTGGTGAAGTCCAGAGGCAGCTCCTGAAGCGCTGGCTCCTCATGGAGGAAGCGCTCCTGCCGCCCAGTGGCCCAGGCTGGGGCTGATTCGACTCATCGCCCCCTGCACCGAGTCCTCATAGAGCTCGGCGCAGGCACGGCACTTCTCGTGCGTCATCCACCGACCCAGCCGAAAGAGCGAGAGCTGGAGGTCCTTGTGTGGGCACCCACACAAGAACCACACTCTCTCCTTGCGTCCTCTCTGAGCCTTCGGCTGGCCACACCTTCAACAGGGCTGGGATGAGGAGCAAAGACAGGTATGATGGGTAGGCAAGCATGGCCAGCGTCGGCGTTTTGGCAAGGTCCGTGTCCTGATTCGCATGACCGACTTCAGATCAAACGAAGAACAAGCTGGCGCAGTACAGTAGCAGCATGATGCAGCATGTGTGCCGATCAGTTTCCTGTGTCAGCGCGTGCAGGTGCATGCGCACGAGACTGTTCAACTGCAAGGCATGCCACACGACGAATCGCTGGGCATCCGAGTCATCGATCAGTAGCTCACCTTCAAGACAAGAGCAGACAATTCTTGGGCGGCCTGCCTACCTGTAGGACCCCACTCATCGAAAACCCCTGCTGCCTTTACTGTTGAGAGCTTGCAGGGCACGCAGTGCTTCCGGACGCTGGGTAGCAAGAATCTGCCACTGCAGATCCTGCAGCTACCAGCACATCTCTTAAGCAACCTCGTTGCTCGGAGTCTCTCGCCTCACTCGATGCAAGCTGAGCTATCACAGATGTGCCGGTGCACTGCAGCTTACAGCCATGCGTCTCTGGCACCACCCCAGAGCTCTCCTACAACGTCGAACTCTCCACAGCTTCCCAGCATCGCTCCACCCATGCGCAGGTCCTCGCGCGTTCAGGGCACTTCACGGCTCTCATGACGATGACGTTGGCTGTACATACTCACACGCACATACACACAGCGTGCTCGCGCGCCCACACTCTGGTTTATTGATTCATGTCAATGTAGTTACAAAGTACTTGTTCAATGTGGTGGATGTGGCAGATGTCAGCGCACTGTCCAGACCGAGATCCCGACGAATGTCAACCGAAAGTTCTTGATATTTCGCGTTCCGTCTACAGACTGTTGAATGGCTGATACTCTCAATTCGCGCACACTGCTGACAGGTCTATGTGGGCTGCGACTTCAGCATGAGGCAAAATGAGGCAGTTCAACGCAAGGGACATTATGTAGCCCTTGCAAGCAAGAGATAGACCGAACGACGTCCAGCCTGCACCTATGTGCATAACTGCATCCACAATGCCCACCTCCAAAGCTCGAGTTTCTTCGCCGATTTCCCGAAGCCCGCGTGAACGGATTGCCAGCGCTGCCACAAAGCCTCAAACCATCTTAGCAGCTTACATCATCTTCTTGCACTCGCAGTGGTTGATTGATCGGGCTACGTGGACGCAGAAGGCCAAGACATCTTCTCCGTAGTGCGCGCTGCGCTTGCTGCCCAGAAGCCGAAGGGGCAGAAGTGGGCCCAGCGTTTCCAGCAGCGGTGGCCTTGCCAAAACACATCGAATCCAGCTCAAGTTCAGAAGAAGTCCAACTCTGTGCATCCAGGAATCTGCCCCAGTTACCCGAGTTTCCATCTCTAATGTAGTGATATGGACAGAAGTCGTCGCCGTTCCACCTGACTCATCGCCATGGCACAAACCCCGCTCGTCCACCGACATCAACGCCTCCAGTCCACGGGTATGTGGTCAGAGTCGCACAGGTCAAAGGAATGCAGATAGACCTGAACGGGTTGGGCCAACCGAGTGCTGGCGTGGCGTCCTGCACGAACTGTGCCAAGAGCCTGGCCGAAGCCATCCAGAACCAGGCCTCCCTTGCGAAGAGCTCCTCGGCATCGGCGGAAAGGACGGACTGACAGATGCTTCCGGCCACTGTTGCCGAGCGTCGATAATCTTCACAGCCTGAGCCAACAATGGGCGCGGCGTCTTTCCGGAGAGAGAAACCTGCGAAGCAAACGCAGAGCATTGAGAACGAAAGGTAAATACATAATGTCACAACCACAAGCCCGCAGCCAGACCCAAAGCATGCACCCGCGTACCGCCAATCAATACCAAATCTTCTGCTGTGGCATCACATAGCTGTCCTTCGTCGCCCGTAGCGCTTGCGCCCAATCTCGCCAAGCCTCCGCGGAAAAACTGTTGGAAGATGAATGGTGTGCAGAACTGCAACGGTTCCTACCCTTCCTAGGCCGTGGTGTGCAGCTGCTTCCGGCCTCATGAAAGTCTGGATCGTCACACAGAAGCCAGGGTGGCTTCCTCTGCCCTGACAAGCATTGTGCACGAACCTGCTCCCAATACCCTTTCTTCAAAGTTCATTCACATGGGTCGTTTGTGGTCGAGATTCTGGCTTGGCAGAAGGCGCACGAAGTCGAACGACTCGTCTCTGGCCTTGACCGATGCCACCGATGCAAGTGAGACATCAATGGGAGACGACGGCCTCCGCTCCGCTCAGCAGCTTCAACTTGTGTCTTGGAGTCACATTCTGTCGTGAGGCCTGTGGTGACCTGTGGTGTCCTGTGGTGGCGTATGAGAACACCTGTAGCAGTGGCCTGCAGCGTGACTTTCCCTTCCCTTCGCAGGGCCCGCCTTGTAGACACCAGCAGGCTGACTCTCGGCCTTGTTCGGTGCAGTACCCGAAAGTCGTGACAATGTCGTAACAATGTCGTAACTTTGCAGCTCGCGCTTCTTTGAGCCTGAAGATTCAGAAAGCAACCGCCGCTGAAACGTTTCTACGCATGATCGTTGCGGCCAGGCAGGCCAGTCACTAGATCGGCATACACTGCAGATCGCCAATATAACGACGCCCGTCAACACGCACAGCATGCGATGCGCAATGCGATGCGCAAGGCAGAGCCTAGACCGGCCATTCACATAAGGCCATACCGGTCCTGGTCCTGGCTGGTGTCCTCTACCAGGGCGTCTCTCAAGCAAGCGACGACTGTTAAATAAGCAGAGGTTTCGACAAATTGCAGGGCAGTTACGATACTTGCGGGGAGTTGAAGTGGGTCCCCAGAGGCATGCACGGCAATAAAGAGCACAACCAGATAAAAGAGCAAGAGGGCACCTCCGAACCCAAGAATGATCCAGCCGTGATGAGAGCTTTGACCACGCATAGCAGACCAGCTGGTCAATGTCCAGACGGGCAGTAACAAGGCGCTGAACGCGAGAAACATGCGATAGCCTTGCAGCATGTCAGTGCTTTGGTATGCCCACCATGCGTAGAAAACACCTTGGAAGGCAGCAATGACTTGACCGTGGCACCAGGTCTTCTTCATGAGCAGGCGGCTTGTGGCTGCATCAAGGCACTCACCCGACGTGTCCAAGTGTGCCGAGCTCAACTGCATAGCGATGTGCGAATAGACGGAAATGCCACCACCATTGGACGAACTCTCAGAGGCTTGCAGCAACTAACGCTTCTACAGATCGAGGTACGAGTACTGCGGCCTGTCAGTGCAAATAGCACCAAGTTCTTGGAAAGGCGGCGCGCATGAACAAGGTATGGCATAAATTGTCGTGGTGAAAGGTGAGGGTCGCTGAGGGCTGCACGACTGGGCCACTTTGCAAGCTGTCAAGCAGGAGCTCGTTAGCGGCCGTGCCACTCCAACCTCAAGGTGGCAAGCCGAGAAGATCGAGAAGGGGGCGCATCTCTGCTTGCAGAGAGAAGGCGACCCCGCTGGCTTTCGTTTAGGACCGCTCAGGCGACTCCCAGCTTTCGAGGTGAGGACTGAGGAGCTCTTAGGCGACTTCAATAACTCTCCCAACTTCGAGCTCCGGAACAGAGCTGCGCCGTCACGGGCACGCGGCCAACGATGCAGCCGCCTTCGAAGCCTCCTTCGAAGGAAGCCAAAAACAGGCTGGTGGGGTCCCAGAGTCTCTTGAGAACGTGGCTCACCAACTCATTGAATCAAGCGACGCTTGAGTCGGAGGTTGCCCAAACTCGCGGAAGCTACTTCACAAAAGCAGAACATAACATCTAAACAGGAATCGATCTCCTGGAGTTGTTGTCGTTGACGATGAAGCTGACATCACTGGCAACTTCGGCCAGGCTAAGTACCTGACATGAAGATTTCAAGCTCCCCCTTCTCCATCCCTCCCACTCACCCCAAAACTGCTCAGTTGCTCATTTACTGCTGCTTCTTTTGTGATTCTCTCTTTATGGCCTGCTCTCCCCGTCGCGTCCAAGTGTAGCCGTGGTGCTGGGCAAGGACATTCATGTCAAGTCCACGTGGAGTTGGCAGCCAGACGGACGAATCTCCAAAGCCGATTGCATAAGCAATGTACCTGGAACAAGTCTATGACAGTCTATGCAAGTAGCACATGTGATGCGCGAGACTCGAACTGCCACAGAACCTTTATCTGATGCTGCGCTTCAAGATCTGATGAACTGGCGAGCTCCCTTATGTCGAGGCACTCCACGCTGCTCTTGCGAAGGATACTTGGATCCTGCAGCTTGTGGTTGCTATTATCATGACGATGATGATGACGACGACAATGCGCGAGCGGTCACAGCAATCATCGTGATCATCGTGATTGTGACCATGTCCATGGTCATTTTTTATGTGGAGACTCCGGCGACGACAAAGCGAACGCACGGCCACCTCCACGGAATCTGGAACAACACAAACTAACACTACTACTACTACTCCTCCTCCTCCTCCTACTACTACTACTACTACTACCACCACTACAACTGCCAACTGCCGCTGCCGCTGCCGCAGCTGCAGCCGCTGCCACTCCCATCACTACCACCACTACTACTACTGCTACGTATTTCTACTACTGGCACAGCTACTTCTACGACTAGTTCTGCTACTGATACTGTTCTGCTTCTACCGCTACTGCACTCCTGCTGCTACCAAACGACTAGGGCTACTACTGCTACTGCTACCACTACTACGACTGCCGCAACCCCAACAACAACTACCACGACCGCCATGCCAACTTTCGCCACCCCACCACCACCACCACGACCAATCGTGGATTATCCTAGCGAGATCATCCTTCCAGCCGCTCACTCGATCCTACTGCAAGCACCAGTCCTCATCTCGCACACATTGCCATGGTATGCATACTGCGACACCGTTGGCCAATGCCTCAATTGCTGCTGGACATGGGCTACGACTCACATCAAAGGATCCAAGCTCATGTGTGGTGATAAAGGCTACACGGCTTGAACTGGCGGACCATGAGAAATCTTGTTCCGAGGTGAATAGCAGCAGGAAGCAGAACCCTCTTCACCGCAAACATCCGCAAGAAACGGTCCGAGGCAAGTTCTTCCCACTCCTCCTCCTGGCTGTTTCGCTCCAAGTGATCCAGGAACCTTTGGATTTGTTCATCGATACGAGTACACAGCATGTATCATCGAAACGCAAGATCTCCCATGAGCCATACTTGGTGAGCACGTGGATCTCCCTCTCCATCAGGTACCTGCGAGTTAACATGTCACTGGCAGCCTTGAACCGGCCATGTGAGTGGACACGACAACGCAAGTTTTAGCAATTGATTCAACTTCTTTGGTCTGAGGCTGAGGAGGCTAGCTCGGCTAGCTTCTCCAAGTCTCGGACCTACTCCGAGTGCTGCTGTTGCGAAACTATGCTGCACATGCAGCTGCCCGAAGGTACCGCACACTGCACACCGTGCTCAACAGCACTGCAGCCCTTTAATGCTCTAGGTCCCGATTTGAAAGCTGAAGGATCATCATGGCTGTCGACTGAGGTGCCAGAGCACACCAGATCAAGCATGGCTTCTTACACCGATGATGCCTCTCGCGGTTGCCCGTGTATTCCGGGATGTTGAGCTGCACGATGGCAACCTCTCCGTGGGCACCCTCTGTTCTCCCTTGTCGAGTCGTCCCTCGTCATAAGCCGCTAGACGTTGCTGCTGAGTGCGAAAAGGAGGCGGCCTGGTGCTGACGTGAGAAGCAGGCTGAGTACGTCTCGGGCTGCCCAGCTGGAACCGTTGCCTGTCCCGTGCGGCCCCTACCCCTTGAAGAAGCTAGAATCACAGGCCCCATGTACAAATCTAGCAGAGGCCTTCGCATGCAACTGGTCTCGAGCGCAGAGCGCCACAGCGAGAGAGGGCGAGAACGAGAAACGAGTGTGGCAACAGAGGCAAGTAGAGTACAACTGGAACAGCTGCCACTTGCGCAGCAAGAGAAATGCAGAAAAATGCTTTAAACGACGGGCTGTCTGCTGGCTCAGACTATGCACAGTGTAGCAGGATGTAGCAGGCCAAAGGCCTGCTCGAAGTCGCTCCGTCGCCAAAGCCTGGCAGTGTGCCAGAGCTAGCAGCTAAGCCAGCATGTCCATAGCCAAACTCCGGAACTTGCCGGGCTGACGAAAGCTCCGAATCTGGAGCTATGTCCCACTGCAGTTGTGGCCAATGAGTGTCGAAGCAGCTCGCACCTCTCCGTGAACGGAGTTCTCTGCTCGATTTGCCAGACAGCAGCATATGTGCCTTCGCCCCAGTGTTCCTTAGCTCACGATCGCGCTCCGGTGCTGTTGTATCTTGACTCTACAAGGCTGATGCGGATCCGAACGAAACGGAGCGGACGGATTAGGAAGCGCATCGCCTCCGAGCTTCTTCCCGCTTCAACCCACTTTGCTGGCCCATCCGGTGTTCGGCATCCGGGTTTCACAATCAGAAGCCAGAAATCAAGTTCGCCGGCGCATCACTACGCCTTGGTACACCCTGTGCTTCTGCGCGACGCGCCAATGCCAAGTTCCACACCCCAAGCCGAGACTCTGCATCAAGATCTTGCCGTTCCGTTTCCAGCTAAAAGGAAGAATAGGGTGTCCCGAAGCCAGAAGTCGTTCATCGCTTGGGACCTTCTTTGTCAATCGAACCTTGCTACAGCATTTGATCCTATCTTCGGGTGTCAGATCCAGCTGCCCGATGCTGAACAAATCTCGACGGAAACAAAGAGGGACGAGCATCACGCACAGCAGCACTGGACTGAGCATCAACTGTTCTGTATCTGGCCTTCTGCTGTTGCTGAGTTTCACACCTGCGGAGGTGCTGCCGCCTGACAAGCTGACCAGCATGCTTCAAGTTGCATCTCTCTGCATCGAGCAAGCCAGCAATCCAACATCGGAAGAGGGTAAGTCAAAGAATTTTTCAGGCAGAAATCCTCGTCACAGACCATGGATTTTTATCAGCCAACGCGGAGCCAGACTTGTGACATGGAGGCCGTGCGCTGTCACGAAGCACATTGTCGGCAGAATTTGCTGCGCGACCAGTGCTAGGAGTCAGCTTCACCTTTGACATGCTGACGAGCCCCCATATCGTTGTCTCTTCTCCGACTCAGCTGCATGCAGAACAACTGCCGCACCATCCATGACGTGCATCTTTGCAGCACATAGCAGAAATAAAGGAGGCCTCGATGATCTCCACGTCCGTCCAGGATTCTCGCGCAGCTTCCACTTATTTTGTCCTTACCACGTTCTCAACGTTCATCTCCGGAAAGCTTCAAATATCGCAAGCTCTTTTCGCCGCACGTGTTTCGGGAGGTCCGCAGGGCCAGCAGCAGGACCTTGTGTGCAGATGCTGCGAGCCTGTGCCACAAAACAAGCTGTCGGGGGCAGATGCTCTGAGAGGACTCCAAGACAACCACAAAGGAGGAACCATGGTGACGGATAGGATCCCCTTCATAGATGACAAAGTCGAATCCATGACGAACAGCACTAACAACAAAATATCCACGGGAGCTCAAGTCCGCGAAGACTTCTGACTGCAAAGATGCGGTCTCGGCCCCCGAACGCTGCAACTGCTCGGGGACATAGGCGAAAGGTGCTCCCAGCTGCGAGTTTTGCTGCGGATTTGAAGGCAAGGTGCCCATGGGCAGCCCAAAAACTGGCTGCCTACTTCTTCGGAATTCCATGTGCCGCTGCACATCGAAGTCTAAGAGTACATCTCCACATCGCAGCTCTGGAGTCCCTACTCTTCCTTCTGCTCCCCGCTCAGCCGATCTGGAGCGCTCCCGTTCGGACATACGAATGAACTACGAAAGCCGGGCCTCTGGGGGGGCCTCTGGAGCCAGGACAGCTGCGTTGTCAGGGCTGTAATGGATGGTGCAAGTAGAACTTTCGCGCGACAGAACCGGGGGTCGGGTCTTCCGAGTGCTTACCGCTGCCCAGCCTTCATGGCCGCGGGATGCACCAGAAGGGTGGCAAGGCCAAGATTCCTCTTGCTGCAGCTTTTTTCGGTACTCTGAACATATTTCGCTGCTGGAAAATTCTGTAGGCGCCACCACTTGAAGGCTGTGCAGACAGATTGCAAGAACTGATGCACATACTACACGAGGGGGAGCAAACAGCTTCGACATCAAATCAAAAATGCAGCAAAGTAATTGACATAACGCAGGCATCCGGGGGTGTTCCCCGAAAGCCCCTCTGTCTCCATGTCACCCTCGCTGCAGGCAGTAGGGATGCAGGTAGGCTTCTAGCTCCAGATACCTCCAGCACGTGCCCTGCGAAACTCTCTCGTACCCCTGGTACCCCACCTCCCCTTTCCCGAACTCTCAGCCGCATCTCCTGCTTGTCTTTCTGAATCTAGGGTCAAAGATGGTGGCAGGACCCCCTCCCACGTGTTCAGCCCGTCCACAGATCCTTGTTAAAAGAATGTGCCTGCCCTGCTTCACTTCTATGACCCATGAGCTGTGTGTTCTAGACCCTTGGTTGCTTGCCCTGCTTGCTCTCTGCTTCTGAAGACATGATTTCGCGGTGCAATCAGGAATCACATGACAGTGTACACGGCCTCATCAAGTGCAGACGGCACATCAGAGTCACGGCGGCTCATGGCGTTGGACAGCAGCCACTTCTGGCTGAAACTAGTTGAAGCAGGGTGAGTCAATGTGACAGAATCGTGGGTTTCTGGTGGCAGGAAGCACCATGAATCATCCATCGTCTTGAATCTCAAGCAAATTACTTCTCACCATCGAACTGCAGCCTTGTTTTACGCATTGCTCTGCAGGAACGAACTGAAGCTTGTCCATGGCATGCTTGCACTTACCATGTTTTCCTCTCGTCGCACGAGAATGAAATAACGTCGAGTAAAGCGGCCGTGACTCCACAGACGGTCAAAGTATGACGATGCCTCCGAGCATGAAACCAAGCATGGTTCTGACCACAGGCTCCGCAAGCCGAATCTCGCCTCTGGATCTGGCACGCCAGCCTCAATTCCCGGCCGCCCTCGCCAGACCTGGATTCAACACCCATGCGAGGCTGTGCCCTGAGCGGCCCTGAGGCAGGTGCAGCTATTCCATTCCGACTCGAGCCGCTGGTGCCTTGGAGCAGTGTCGACAGTGCATGATGATGTGCTTGTGCTGCGCGGCGCTAAGCCGGAGACCATCTCGGACAATACCAGGGCCGGGGTCACTCACCTGCATTGGTGTCCAGGCTGGCTTAGAACTCGAAAACGGCAGCACTCGTCGACGGTGTCGCCAGGGCCCCAGCATTCGCAAAGCCGCCAACAGCATCCAGGGATGCTGCAAGCTGCCGCAAGTAAGTCACCTCTCGCTGTGATGAAGCATCTGCAGAAGCACAAAGGCAGCCAGGACCCCCGCGTTGTCTGAATGAATCAGAAGCATGCCGTCAGAGGACAGCACTCGACGCACTGAGCGAAAAGTCTCAGCCTCAGTGCATGACAAAACCATTCTACTCGAAGCCTGTATATTCTCAAATGTGCAGCTCCCAACGACTCAAAGCGTGAAAGAGAGAGAGAGAGAACGCGAGCGGTTTGGGCGGATCTCGGGTGGTGGCAGTGAGAAGATGGGGGGCGGCCGCGTCTGCCCCAAGCGCTGCACCAGATCCTGGCGACATTCGAAGGCATCAGGATTGCATACAGGAATCCTTAACCCTGTCTAGTATTACTAGACAGGGTTACTGTAACCCCAGCAACACTGAACGCCTTCTATCTCGCCATCGCCCAAGCCGCGGCGAACAGGTGGCTCCGGGAAGTTGACCTGCGTTAGCAATTTACGGCGCCGAGGGGTTTAGGGCTTCCTGAGGTCTGAGACCTGCCGAATGCCGAACAGCTGCAAAGCTTATCAGTGATACCGGCCGCTGCGCCAAAAATATATCTCTTCCTGTGGTATCGATAATGTTAATCTGATCCAGCCTCAGCCTGTTCATCCTGCAGTTGCCCACAGACTGTCCGTATGCAAATCTGCGAGGGTGATTCTCCAACATTCGTTTTGCAGACGCGTGCGTTTCGCCACAGCCTCTTTAAGATCCGACCCTAGGCATCACCTCTGTCAAAGACACGCCTCTGACAAGTAGATATGTGCAGGCTGCATCGGCCTGGTCTTCCTTCATAGTGTGCGTTGTAACCGAATGTTCATGACTAACTCAGCGAATTCAATCTTAATTGCATCGAGCTTTCCACTAGTTGAGCGAAGTCCATGTCAGGGTTCATAAGTTTAAGCAGATGTGTGAGTTCGGGGTTGGGCACTTTCTCCATCGTCTCGTGATTGTGGATGGGGAGGTTGGGCATTGTCCGATGCTGGCAAGACATATCATTCTAGATGACGACTTTGATCCATGACGTGTTAACCTCCTGCGTGTTTGGAACAACCCGTCTGATGTCAAAACTGCCCCCGCAACTTGTCTATGAAACAAGATACTCGCAATTATTGGTGAAAGCTGCTTTTAGCTTACGTAATCTTTTCGGGATCACCTATGTAACCGATGTATCTACACAGCACTGGAGGCTGATTAGGTATGCATCGTGATTGCTCCCTCCCTTGTTTCTACAATCCTTTCGTTGGAGGGCTTCCCTTGCTTCCCTTGCTTCTGAAAATCTTGCACATATCCGTATCTCGTGAGGGCCCCGTCGCAGGTCTTCTTGTTTGTTTCGCGAAGCCAGGCCTTTTATACTCATTTCTGTTATGGCTTTATGGTGCTTTCTTCCGAGGTAGTGTGGGGGTGCTTCTGCGCAAAGGATTTGCCCAAGGCTTTCAGGAAGCTCAATCAAATTTCAATATTCGGGGCCGGAATCAAGGATAAAACGAAGGAGGGTTTCGGGGTGGGCTTGGGAGTTACAACAGCCGACAACAGCCTACAGCTAACTTGCAACTCCCTGCAAGCAAGGTGCATACATGTACGCCACGGAGCCAGGTGCAAGCCTCAAGGGAAGAGGCTGCAGCTTGCACAGATTGACATGTCTTGGAGTCTTGGAGAGCAATAAAGTCAGTGACATGCGCAGAAAGACAGCCGCGTCCGCAGCAACCACGCAGAGATTTTTGCACACCTGTGCATGCTCGTTGAGAGTCATCATTTCCACCACACCGCACAGGCAAACGCCGAGCTCCACGCTCCAGTGAGAAGTGCGCGGGAGAACGTGCGGAAGACGCGATCTCGCCTGGCATTGTCAGCTGGACCATCTTAAAGGTCGAGTCACTCTTGTCAAGTGTCTGTCCGGGACGAGGGGCATGGCCTGTTTTCCACGCAGACCCAGCTGGCTTTCCCAGCGTCAGCAGCTGCTTGAGCACACACCCATTCGCCCTGTCGACGGACCCGCCAGTGCAATGATCTGACAATTCTTTCGCATTGCAATAGGCCACCTCTCCAGAACACAGCTCCACCTGCTGGTGCAAGCATTCAAGCAGCATCCAGCAAAGAAGTTGCGGCATAGCTCGGACAGCTTGCGCGGTTGAAAACTCCTCCCTGCGAGTACTGCATTCTGACGACGGGCCCCATTACACATCTAGGCATTGTTGTCTTGGCTGCGCCTTCAGAGGCAGCACGTCACGAAACACTGCATCCAGGTGGAGCTGCCCTGCTCGGACATTTCAGAATTCGGACACTCGGCATCAGGCGTCTTGTGGTCACGGAATTCCGTCCTTCCCCATCAGCTATGGCATTCAATCGCTGCAATAGTTTCGCCTCTGCCTTGCAAGATCATGCAACCACAGCATGAAGCGGAAATGCACGGCTTGATAAGTAAGGCAAAGGCTGTCGGCTGGTCGCCACGCCTCAGCTTCAGTGTGACACAAGCGCCGCTGCAGCCGAAGGTCCCAAAATGTCCCGAAGCCCTTAGCAGCCTTAGCTGGCGACAGCCCAAAGGAGCGTTGGAGCTCCAGGAGCAGCGCCTGGCCACCTTTGCCATGGGGATGTGCGACATGACCCGCCCTACAGAGCCGAGTGCACAGAAAATCTTAGCTGGAGGCTGACGGCGCCGGCCTCGTCCTCTGATATGGACAGACTCAGACTCCACCACCCCATGCAGTTCCAATTTCTCTTCGTGAGGGAGCGCCGAGTTTGACCAGGCTGTGGCGTGCCTTCGGCTGCCAGGTTCTGCGAAACGTTGCAGCGAGCTTAGCTGCCGTCTGAACCAGGCACCAAGCCTGCTCATTTAAAAGCGTCGAAAAAGCTATGCCACGCATCCTCGAGTGCACCACCATTGCAATCTTGGAATTTGCCAGTTTGCTGTTGTTGGAGTGTGAGAAGTCGGACACATGGAGTGAACTGAGTGAAACACATGCTGGTGGCTACCTAGCTCTGCTACCTGGTGAGAACACGGGAGCTATTCTGTGAGACTTTCACCGGGCTGGTGACACCCTTCGGCGCGCACGGCCACCACCAGGCTTTCTCTTCGAGGCTCAAAGATGCTTGTAAGTCCATGGAAGATTTTGCCCAGTTAAACTTAATGTGGCCATCCGAGACGGATTTTGCGAGCCTCTGCTGGTTGGGCTTGCGCAGGAAAGCGGAGCGCTGACTGTGTCGAATCGGCTGGCCATTTCCATTAGCCTGCAACAGGTCCCCAGCAAGCCGCAAGACAGACTTCGCAGCGGCATTGTTCCTCTCGAGCTCGATGCCTCGCTGAATCAGACGCGCTGGGGCGGTTGAAGCCTTCTCCGGTGCCACAGTCTCTGAAAGTGTCACTGGTGTCTGTGGAATCTGCGCTGACGGCGCTGACTCCGGATTGCTTGGGCTCTCTAGTTGCAAGGCCTTGCTCGGCGCTTGCTCCTTGTTGGCCTGCGTATCCGATAAGGAGCTCTGCACCGTGTCCGTGGTCGCAGACCGCCCTAAGGAAAGGTCTTTCGACTTCGGGGAAAGAACTGACATGTGTTCTGCGATCTTCATCTTGGAGAGCTTCAAAGCTTGGTAGATTTCTCTACTTCCTCCAAGACTGGCCATCGCACCAATGCGCTCCAAGTACGCCAGATCTCGCAGCCTGTTCAAGGCCTGCTCCCTCCTGTGACAAGGACACAACGTGCTTTGGCAGAAAGCTCACACAAAATGCGCGAATTCCCTACAGCTTTATGGTCTGATGTGCTCAGTCGGAGTAGTAGATAGTAGTAGTATCAGCAGGGCACTTAGGGCAACAAGCTGGCAGCACTGCGTTCTAGGGACGAATGGTTTTGGTAGGGTGGCGAAGATGGTTCGATCTTGGGATGGCTAGATACTGTTCTGCAAAACGGTTGACTCCGACTCCTGTCACGATAGGAAACTCGAAACCTTTGCAGCAGTGAAATGACCGTGTGTTAGAATCCCGAACCCTTTCCGTACTTGCCAGGCAACATGTACTGTCTTGGCAAGAAGACCAACGAAGGGTGTTCCCACATCGACAGCTGCTTTTCCGCGTTGTGATAGTAGACTTGGCCGCTATCGTCTTCTGCTTGCTGCCACTCGAAGAGTAGCTTTGTGATATCAGCTTCCCAAGACTCCTGCTCGGCAAGGAAAGGCTTTGCCAGACTCTACCCAGCATCGACAACTCCAACAAGAACCGGTGCTACAAGCCTGAAGATACACATTGGCCTGCCCAACACAGATGGTCCTGCAATGTGTTCAGGGTTTGGTCTCTCAGATTCGGCGGCAGCTGAATGCAGGTTTGGAAAGCCGCCATGCATTCGCGAAGAATTGCATCGAGAGGGTGCACCTCACAAGGCGGCAAACTCTAAGGCTTGCTGTCTTCCCCGACTATACTCGAACCTGCAGAAAACAAGTCTGCGAGCCGAACCCAGGCAGTCTCGTTGGAGGTCTGATTCCAGAAGAAGAGGCCACTTTGCTCGTCCCGGCATAGGGACCACGGAGCTGGCAGGACGCTGCTGGACAAGACGTCACTCAGAAAGGTCGTCAGGAAGGGGTCCTGCGAGGGGCTGGAACAAGCAGGGTCCTCAACGCTGACTCGTGAACCCTACTCCTAACGTATGAACATCATGTGCATCGCGCATTCATAAGTCTTCCAAAGCTGACAACTCTCTAATCTTGAGATGGCACCTGCTCCACGATCCTTCTGCATGCCAAAATCGTTCGAGATCAGACCCCCGAAACATCCTTATCCACTAAGGACTAGTCACAAAGAATTGCGACACTTCCCGCAAAACCTCGACTTGTCAAACGATGAGTTTCATCTGGATCCCGGTGCAGTATCGCAGTCCTGAGCCTCCGTCACGACGCCGTTTGTAAGCAGGTACTGGGACCTTTCTTCCAAGGTCCAGGTAGCCAGATTCTCGTCAACCGGGAGCTGGTCTTTGGCAAGATGTGACCACACCCCGTGGTATTCCGCCATGCAGAAGCTCTAGTCAAACGTACATGACATAAACTTACAATAACCTAGTGACCTGGTTCCGGCGTGCGAGAAACAAGCTGAAAGGGAAGATCGACGGAAACAAGGGCCGTCATGTGCAGGATGCCAGAAGCAGATGAGAGCTAGGGCAGCTGGGGCCTTCTTCGTGTTGGGGTGCAAAAAGGGTTGCATGTATCAAGTCGGCATAGTAGCACATGCTTCGAGCCGAGTGCAAAGGGTCAAAGAAACCGTGGGGCTTATTGAAATGGCCGGGCTGTCTATCGCGATTTCAACAGTCTGAGGCCAGGTCAGGAATGTCTTGGGGAAGCGCGAGGAGTCTGGTCATGTGCTTCCTGCTCTAATGTCATGCTGCGTCATGCTGGGAACGAATCTCGCGGCATGTACGGCAAGGAGAGTCTACGAGTGCAATCATGATGTGGTCAAAGCTCAAGTAGGTCCCCGACGCTGGCGCTTCCAACGCATCGTGGCCTGATGACATGCGACTGGCAGCTCGAGTCTGTAATTAGTTCAATCGCCTTGCTTGCTTTTCACATCGCTCCTCTCAGGCAGTTGCTTTCCAGGTGGTCCTCTATGAGAGCAGCTCTCCGAGCGAGCTCACGCCTTAACCGGATGCCGCTCGCTGTCACAGGCGAGAGCGCAGAGCCAAGGCTTGAGCTCTTTGAATTCTGCGAAAAGGCCGGCCGAGGAAGCTCCTCGAGGAAGCGTCTGTTCAAAGCTCATCCGGCCGTCTCCCAGCAGCGACCACATCTACTGGATTCTACTGCAGAGTCCTGGTCCAGCCTCACGCGTCTGTCGCTCCTGCTGCAACGGGGCAGACATGCTGGTGTCAGTAGGAGTATTGGAGGATATGCACCGACTCGACTGTTTGACATCTGTGTCCTGCTTCTGCCACTTCGCAGCCTGGGCAAAGGTCTGCTGAACCGCACGTGACATTTTCACATTGCAGCATGGAAAAAGCTGCTGCTGGCCTTCCGACGCAACAGTCTCGCCCTTTTCAAAGCTCGCCGAGCCTTGAAACTCATGATAAAGTGGGGCTTGGGAGGCGTTGCAAATTCCTGGACCCTGCGACGAACTCATCGACCCGAGGTGGTCACTCGAACACGTGGCTCGTTGCACAGCAAGGAAGCTTCAGCCACCATTGTCCACAGACCTGGGACAAGAATCCAATCACAATCCGCTGAGGTTTCGGTGCCTAGATTCTGTCTCTTCCCTACGAGTACCCCTCAATTCCCCTTCCCAAACGTTTAGTGGCGGTGGTGGCAACCAGAAGCTTGTCTTGACGGGCTGATCGCGGCCGAGGCAGCTGGCACGGTTGCGGAATGCTGCAGCCTTTCCACCTTTGAGGCAATAGGCACGGCCACTACTGCCGCATGGCAACGCACGCCACGCCTTCCCAAGTCACGAAGGCAGAACCTGAGAGTGCTGTGGCTTCTCGGGTTGTCGCAACCTGCTGCCTTGGCCTTGGGGCAAAACTCCAACACGTGAGGTCGGAGCCTTCAGTGCCCTCAGCAGAACCTGCTCCCGCGGCCTTGGCAGAGCTCCTCGCAGAGCAGCTGACAGCTCCATTCAAAGCCGGAGAACCGAAGCCCACATGAACCCCTGTGCTTCTCCGGGCTTAGAACCTATGTCAAACACAGTGGGAGCGTGAACTTGCGAGTTCGCCTCTTGAGCAGGGCACGCGCTGCTTTCACGCGAAGGCCTTGGCAAAGCAGTGCCACTGCATACTCGCAGCTTGTCGCCTGGCGGAGCTTTCGGAATCAGATACGACCTGCAGCACCTAGAATAGGTGTTGGCGACCCGAACATGCCGGCAGCTCATCAGGAGGGACGCCCCACTCATCTTCCATTCGCCTCTGCCGAAAAAACTGAAACGAAACTCAGACTCAAACACGTCAGAACTCAAGTTAGCAGGCGCGACCTCAGTAGTTCAAGCGAAGCATCGACCTCCCCAGCCCGCCGGAAGCCTTCAGCCAAAAGGAGTCAGCATTGCAAAGAGATGCCGTGGAGAACATTGCAAACACCACACAAACACCCCCCTTCGGCCTCGAAGTAGCCTCAGATGTCATGCTTCCCTCACAGAGAAACCGTTATAGCGGCCTGCGGTCTGCGGCCTGCCTACACTGACACCTTTGGACTTCCCTCCGTTCCATCTCGACTTCGAATTTGCCATGTGGTCATGTTGAGTCGGTTAGCTCCATGAGTAATGAAAAAACACCAGGCAGCGTGTTGGCTGTTCGGATGTTGGGTTGGCATCCCGAGCTCAGCATGTCGTCAAGCGCCTGGTCAGACTGGACGATGTCTACTGGCTTCATAAAGTCATGAAGGCTTCAAGTCTTCGAACAATTGAGTGGACGCCTGCTGAGCTTCCTTGATCTGACCTGCTTCACAAAGACCTTTCAGCAGCGTAGTGTAGGCCACCACCTGAGAGATGCTTCCGACACAAACTGCTACAAACCAACAACCGAAGCAGCCGCAACAACAACGGCAAACGCAACGGCAACGTCAACAGTAGCCGCAGCAGCTTATGCTCTTCTGCACCAGAACGGTGAACGGGCTCTAGTCAGTCAACATCAACACCATCGTCATGCTAATGTTGACATGCAGAAGAAGAAGCAGAAGAAGACTGAATATTGCCACAACTATCGACAGTGTCTATACTTGTATAGTATATATATATATATATATATATTGTATATATGCATAAATATGCAACCATATGTCGCATATGCGACTGTCAGTGTATGGTACACCCATCCGGCCAAATTCCAATGCTCTGAAGCCGGAAGCCTCTCGTGAGGCCCCGGCACCCGGATTCACGCCCTGCTTCCGGGACTCCTGGAGCCAAGTCCTGGCCTGCATCCATCATGACAACAATCAGATCACGAGGCCACTAATCAATAGTGCTGGTGGGGGCCAGAATGGTGATACAGTGATACGATGTAACGGCAGCAGAGTCATGTAATTATACAAGTCTTTACTGCGAGCAGGAACGGCAACAACAGTTGACGCCATTACGGGTCACGCCTGCGAGAGGTCTCCCACACGCACGGCAGCATTGACCAGCGCACCGAAGGTCTGGGCCTTTCGAAAGAAAGGGCCATCTGTCAAGCCCCTTACGACAAAGCGCAAGCGTGACCCTAAGTCCGGATCGCTCGGCTGCAGCCCTTCATCCAACATGTCTTGGAAGGCTTTGCGGGCCTGTCCGATCTGCTGCAGCTTGCAACAGCGCAAGTGAGCATGAAATGAGAAGCGATTCAGCTGCTTGCTTCGGCCGCTGCACTCGCTACCACGTTTCAAGATCCTTTTTCCGGCACTCCCTCTTCTTCGATTGCGCTGTACTGAGCAAACTTTGCTGACAGTACCTGGGGCATGGCAATATGGCAGAATTTCCGCAATTGTGAAAGGCTGGCCAGTTTCCATCAAGTTGCATGATGCCGTCCCCTTCGATAGTGTCAAGATCCTGGCCACGCTGTCGGTGCAAATTCCACAACCCTCACGGGACTAGGTGACTGGCCCGCCCAGCCTCCCAGCCCACGGCTCGCAGCATGGCCTGGGCCTCGGCCTCCTTCGGTAAGGGTGCGGCCTCGTCTAAGCAAGCAAAACACACTAACCCTTAATCTGAAGCATTCAAGACAGCCAAAGCGGAAAAGAGAGAGGGTGCGGGGATGGGGAACTGCCCAACATGGTGCTCAACTCAGAGGAACCAAACATGCATCATGAGGCGCGGGGAACGCCGCATGTGTCGATGCACGCGCGTAGTGGGATCCTGCATGCTCTCCGAATCAGCATAGTGCCTCAGCGATGGGGCCTGGTCGGAGCTTCATGTCCCGCAAAAGAGAGCCTAAGCGTGGATCAGTTGGATGGGGTACCGGATATCTGAAGCTAGCTGGGATCTGAGAGCCCAGCGACAACTCCGAAAATCAGAAGCCACTTCGTTTCGACCTGGAGCTCTGGTCGTGGCTGCGCTTTGGATAGAACCCTGAGACCGCCTTCCGCAATCTTGACCAGGGAAATCTGCCGTTTGATCTGGTCAGGATTTCGCCATGACCGCCCTCGGTGGACGCAGCTTCTGTTGTCGCAGATCACGAGGTCGCCAGCAGACCAGGAGTGGCGATAGATGAACCTGAAGACCCGGCGATAGAACCCCTACATTACCCGGCAGCTACTCCAAGACATTCCAAAGAAACAGGGCACAAAAACAAAACATGCCAAGAATGATAAAGCTGCCGCTCCTGGGTCACATGTTTGTTGATCTTCCTGACGGGCTCACAGGGTACATGCACCGGGCTGAATGCACACCGCAGGCTGAGGAGAGCAGGTCCTGATCAAGGCGCGCCCTGACTGCAGTGGCATGCCCTCGATGTGGCTACAGTGTCTGCCCGCGAAAAGGGACCTTCAGTGCAACATAGTCCAACCAAGAGTGCTGCTCAAACATGACATTTGCCTCTCAGCGCCTCCCAGCGGGTGTATGTCGAACGAGAAAGTGTCGTGCAGGTGGAAGGCGCCGAAGGAATCGAGCCGAGCATCCGGTCAGGCCCAAGCTGTATCGAAAGTCATGGACACCTCAGAGCTATGTCCTGCTATGTCCTGCTTCTCCTTTTGAGACCTTCTGCAAAAGAAACTTGTAGCCGGGCAACAAAGAAGTCGGTCAAGCTCATGCTGCTCCGCTGGAGTCAATGCACTGAAGGCCACGCGAGAAGAAGCAAACTCCGTCTCTCCACCGTTTCCTGCCGCACGAACAATGTGCAACGGCGCTTCTCAATCAGCTCAAGCGCTTGACAAAGGTTCGAGGGGTCAGCATACAAGAACAGCTGACAGGGACCTGCTTGCGAAGTGTTGAAAACGTGTCCTGGTGGCACCACGACATTCCCCACCATCAAAGAAGCCAGAGCTGGCATCACCTGAAGCACTGAACAGAGCACAACTCGCCTGAGCAGCTCGCAAGAGAGTGGGGCCTTGAAGGAGGAGTCAATGTGCCAGAGTCCATTTCCGGCTCGAAGCTTCAAGAGGCGATCATCAGATGCCAGGATGCAGCCTCGTGAAATCGGCCAAAGTCGCTGCCAATGCCGGAATGACGCAAATTCACAGAATCACAGGCATGCCGCCTGTTGTGGCATCAAAGTTCGCGATCCGACCTTGGCCGCTTACCATATCAAATTTGGGAAATGCAAAGGAAGACTACCATACAAGCTACAGCACCACGACTGCAGGTAGAATGCCGGCTTCACGTCGAGTTGCCAATGAGGCGTGTTGAGCTGGAGCTCCCTTTCTTGAATCGACCCCCAGCGGGCCCTTCACTGGCCTCGAGTTCGGCTCCCGCGAACTCGGCTGCAAAGGCTCCTTTCACTCAGGAATGAGAAACCAATAGCTGAAAATCAGAGAAACCGAGAAACTTACAACACGAAAGAACTCGAAGGACAGCGTTTCACAAGTCGGGTCTCTTGCAAAACCAATGAGCTCATCGTCTGTCAAGCTCGCAGATTTGAAGACCAGCACGGAATACCTAATTTGGAAGCAACTCCCTCTGCTCCGTCCTGCTGTGTCACGAGGAACCGAGAGCAAAAACAAAAAGACTGTCATCATGTCATGGGCATAACATTTAGGTTCTCATGATGACGAACTGTATTGAGCACCTCCACCATCAACATCACAATAGTAATCATCATCAGCAGCGTCACCTCCGACACTATCATCAACAGCATCATCATCTGGGCTGATAGCACTGCATCCAAGACTCTGCTCGAAAAGATCCCGCAATAGAGCCAGAGAGCCTGCGTCGAGCACGGAGCTCAGTCGAAGTCCGTCAACCTGCGCGGAAGACGCAAGATGACGCAATCAACGATCATGAGAGGCCTGGCCTTGACTGCAAAGCCAAATGCAGTCAGAGGTGTGGCAGTGACCTCTTCCTTGGATTCAGTTAACCAAAGCTACGTGCAGCTACGGCAGCTACGGCTGTAACAGGATACGTAGACCAGGCCATAAGGAAGGATGAGATGCAACATGGCGTCTCGTCCTTCTCTCCCCAGCTCGTTCAGCCTGCGAGTCTGCCCCTTCGATGCGGGGTGACCTGGTCGGCACTGGTTGGCAACATTGGCCAATTCCTATGAAGTTCTCCCATCAATGCATCTCGAACCTGCCTCCTGCACTGCGCCTGCCAGAGGCCCGCGGCCGGCGGCCATTCAAGCAGACCGGCAACAGCAGCGCAAAGCCCCACCTATTGTGAGGCCCAACTGGAGACAGGTCAAGACTACACACAAGGGTCCAAGGGGGATCTGGTTTGCAGTCAGGATGGGGACACATGCTTGGCATGCCGCATGCACAAGATGCGGCTAGGTGTTTGGGATGCTCATCCATTCCCCTGCTGTGGTCAGCTAGTTGCATCTCGCGCACAAGGCTGAAGAATTTTGGAAACCAGCTGCCTGCCGAAGACGCTGGTGGAGCAAGAGGACACTGGCGCAGCTGAAGGAAGCGGCGGAGACAACGGTGGAAGCAAGCTTCTCACGCAAGGTTGTCTTGGCAAAGTGGGAGCAGCCCGCATGGCAAGAGTGAGCAAGACTCTCCCATGGCAAGCGCTTTGAAAGGCGTGCAAACTAAAGCATACGGAGCTCGCTTTGGCACTGTTGGTCGACAATTATTGGGGTTGGCGGCGATGTCGATGCCAATTCAATCGCTGTGATACACACACACACACACACATTCGGCGGCTGGTCACGATTGCATGGAGGCATCGAGCACATCAACTGCAGGTTGCCGGTGCCTGCTTCAGTTTCTTGAAGCGTGCGGCCCTCGCAATGACCTGGCGCAAAAGAAGAAATCCTGATAAGCATGAAGCTGCTGGGCTGCCAGTCAGCCTGATTGAGACGGACGACGCGATCTCGCTGCCATTTTGCCTCGGCTGCTGTCAGCCGAGACACTGAGCAACAATGACAGATAGTGATCGCTGCTGAGGCGGTGGCCATCTTGGGTCGAGCTCCTTGACATGTGAAGCTGTTGGCCTTCGACACCAGAGCAAGGCTGGAGAAGCAATGGCGAACAGGTACAAACACAGACAGCCCGGCCACCTGGGTGTCGACTGCAGCATTCCTCTTCCGCTTCATGGCCAGGCAGTGCCAAGATTCTCAACAGAACTTCTGTTCTAGCCGAAGACCGATCGGCTGCAGCTATACTTTCTTTCTGATGCGCAGGCCATCATGCTTTGAGAGCCATTGTTGTGGGTACCCTACGTACTGCCGATGCACTGTCACGACTCGAGCAGAACATGTTCGGTCTCAATCAAGCAGATATGGATGCTTGTTAAAGAAGACTTCAAACTGTTTCAGGGTGGCGGACGCCCGCTGATCCTACTCGTTGTTCTGCGTAAGGTTCACAGAAGCAAACGTACACTTCACTCTTCTCCCTTTGCAGCGTGGCAACTATGTCTTCCTCCACCCGCGTGAAAAGCGCAGCTTGAAGTTCCATCCTGACATGACACTGCAGCGTAGCCGTCAACAAGCAGTTAGGGTTTTTGCTGACCTGTTGACGGCGGAGCAGGAGTCGGCCACCAGGCAAACTGCTGTTGCCTAGGTTCGGGCTCCATGTGAGGGTGTCTACAACTGGGCGTTTCTTGCACACAAAGTGTTGCCACTGCTATCTTCCAAGAGGCATCGGGCCAAAGGCCTGCTTGCAGCAACGATTTAAACCCACATGTCGTACATGGTCTACATTGACTGTTTGCATGTCGTTGTACCGAGTCTCCGGCGCACGGCATGCATCTCATGGAACAGTGCGAGCACCATCTCTGGCTGCTGGCAAGCCTGGCGCGCTTGCGGCGCAAGCAATCTCGGCCGAATGCGACAACGCCAGGCTCCTCCATGACTGAATTGAAGGCGACGGCCCCCGTCTGCATCCTGCGATAGCCATTCCACACCAAGTAAGGAGCAGTCTCTGCAGGGGGCACACATACCAATCACTGATCTCTACACAGCCCGTCCACGGTGGCCCCATCGGATCCAGAAGGAGAAGCCCCTTCTGCCACTGTCGCGCTGGGCCACAAGCAGCGCAGCAGTTGTTGAGAGTCAGCCTATGGCGAGATTGCAAGGCAAAGGGCTCGTGCCAGACGTTCTCCAGAGGATGTCAGCTTCTTCCGTACTAGCTGCGGACTACTCGTAGCTGGAAGGATCATTGCGTGATAGCCTGTCTGGCAGAAGGCCACGCTGCCGAAGCTGCTCCAAGGCTGCAAAGGCACTGGCCCAGTCCGAGCCTGCAACGGCCTGGGCACCAAAGCCGGGCTCTGCTTTGCATACTTCTGGCGAGATTCCCAGCAAACTTAGCGACATCAATTTTCAACAAAGTACCGGTCATACCCCTGCCCGGTTCAACGGAGGAAGTGCTGCAGCAAAGCAACCAAATAGGCATTGAAGGAGATGAGGTCCGGCTGCGGGCCGCACTTGAGCATTTCGGTGAGAAGAGCCGATGCCTTGGCCACCTGCCACTACCGGAGCCCACTCACAAGGGGGGCGAGGTGCTTCTAAAGCAGGAACACGCGTTCGCCTCCATGGCCCGGCCACAGGCTGTGATCAGCACGTTGCATGCGGGAAGCCCGGGGCAGGCATCCCTCGAAGCCCTGGGCGCACGGAGCGAGAAGACACACAGCCGGGAGCGCACGAGACGCAAATGACGCCGATTGGGACTCTGGCGACGCTGGCGGTGGCAAGGAGCCAAGGAGAGACGTCGCTTCCGGCCATGCATGGGCCATGCCCATGGCATTGATCACGACTCCAGCGAGGACACCATCGACCTCCCCTCTGCGATGCAGGTCGAAGTATGCAAGTATAAGGAGTGCTTTCCTCCAGTGCTTGGCGCAACACGTTGCAGCCGACGCTGCTGCTTCTTTGGAAAGCAGGCGCCTGGCTGCCATGGCTGCGAGCATGGCGGTGCCTCTCGGCCAATCACCAGGCCCCGTGGCCGCAGCTCCGGCTTCCGACAAATCCCAGAGGGCTTGGCCAGCCGTGGCAGTAATGAGCCCTGTGAAGGTGACGGCCGTCAGCTCCATCAGCTGCATCTTCATGGTCTCCAGGGTGAGGAGTGCGTGACACCAGCTCCGGCTCCTACAGAGAGAGCCATATGCAATGCCAGGCCAGGTGCCTCACTACGGAGCAACGGTCACAGGCCGAACAGTCCTGCCAGAGGCAGTAATGGCGGCGTTGCAGAGCACGGAGTCGGAGGGGGCGGCTGCCAGAAGCGTGGCAACAGCCCAGGCGCCTGCCTCGGCACACAGCCCGCCCACGGCGCTGCGCACGAAGACGTTGGCGGCCAATCCTTCCCAGTGCGACAACGCACAACTCAGATGTAGGAAGATTCCGATCTCCCGATCCCGCCTTGGATAGACAGGCTCCTGGCCATGTGCAGCGCGCGGGACCACTGCGAGACTCGACTCCGGGACCACGGGGAAGTCATGCGGCGCCTCAAGGCGCTCAAGGCCTCGGCTGTCAGAGCCCGAAAGCCGAGGATAGCCGCTGATAGCCGAGGGCCGCTGGGGGCCTGTTAAGGGAAGCAATGAACCAAGCCATCAAAGGGAGCTCCGCCCGAACCGAGCGGCCGAAACATGGCTGCGCTGGTTCGTTCTGATTTGCCACTGTCTCGCAGCTGCCAGAAGTTCCGAAGCAGCGACCCACAGGAGATGTCGACCTGAGGCTGGAAGTCAGCGCTTGAGGCCAGCCTGGCGATTTCGAAAATCTACCATCTATCGCGAACTGCCAAGCTCTGCCGAGCGACCCAAAGTCATCACCACACCATTAAACATCACTGTCTCCAGAATTCTGAGCTCCTGCGGGCAGGGTCTTGTAGCGAAGTAGGGACGGCAGCACTGTCAAGTGGGCTGCCGAGGCTTTCTCGTGTCGAGATGCTAACTAGAGCAACAGGCGCTTCCGACACTGACTCCGTCGCATTGCATCAGCAAGGAATCGAATCATAGCACATCGATCTCTGACTATGTGTTAACCGCACAAGCGAGCTCCCCCGTCGTCTTTTGCACCCCATCACTCCCCCATGCCTTTCGGCTCTGCTGGGAAGTTTCTGATCAGAATGGCCAAAATTTGGATTAGAGCTTACGGCAGGAATGCGACCGCTGATCCCTGGTTGCTTTGTCTTGAGGCGCGTAAATTTCCGACGCTGCACCTACCACGGCTATGTCCAGAAGACGAGCATTGCAATAATGGCCGGTGAGGTGACCCCACGGTTCGGCTGTCCTGCACAGCTTCTAGCACGGCCAGCGCCGGCTTCCAAGATGTCAAGCGAGAGCAGGCGCCGATGGTGTCAGCGACGGCCGCAAACGTCGGCCGGCAGTCTCGGCAGGTCTGTCGCAAGCCTTTGCAGCCTTTTGCAGTCTGCTGGCTTTGGTAGCTCCAAGCCTTCGCAAGCATCGCCATGTCCACCTGCAACAACATCTGGCTGCCTGAACATGAACCGGAGCTGACCCCGCAAAACCGACGAAGCACAGCATGAGAGTCACATCTGAACATTCGGGTGGGCACCTCCCGCTCTTATCAAGAGTCCATGACACATCTGCTGATTCTGCACAAGCTGGCGGCAAAGCGAGCATTGTAAATTGCTTCCCGAGTCACTAAGGTCATGGTCACTCAAATGAAGCGAACATGTGCAGAGATCTTCCGAAAGGCACATGGTCGGTGGCTGACTGCTTCTGGATGGTGCCTGTAAACATGCTTCATGTATTTTGGAGGTGAAACGGCTTTGGAGCAAGCACAAGGAATTCAAACATTGCTGGTTCGACATCACAGTTACTTCCAAAAATGTCGACATTTCAGTGTCGGATCAAAAAGTGAGAACACCTGCGTGTGATTCGGCCATTTTGATGATGTGCCTCGCACGCACTGTTCGCAGCTGGTAGCGCCAGGAGCTGCAGATTTGCAAGCTGGCGGCCAACCTTGAAATGACGAAATGCTGAAGAACAACGATCTGTGCAGTAGCGCGACGACCCTCCAGGCTTCCTGAACAATCCCTGATGCCCATGACTATGACAGGGAGAACAACATTGAGCCGGCGACGCAAAATCGCCACGAAATGCATGCACTAATCCTGCCAGGGTCATGGCGCACATTGTCCCTGGATACAGCCAGTCTGGACTTCAGCGTTGTGGTGGCAGACCTCCGCGCGACGGAGCCAGCACATCGGGTTTTTCTTTGTCGCCGACACATCTTGCTGGAAGCTGAAGAGCTCCTGGTCAAGTTTCTATTATGGACTTTGCATGGACTGGGTCAGAGATCCCAGAAATCCTTGATCATGCGGATGTTGTAAAGCAGCGCTGTCCATCCTCGACCCGGCAAGAAAAGGGGCTGAGGGATCAAGAAGCATGTAATCAACAAAAAACAGAAACCTTGGATCAAAATGAAACAGTGATCAACCAAAAATCGAAGGCTCATATGTCCTAGAGGCTGTGCTAAAAGGGACAAAATTTCGGATCAAACAATCCAACAGGGATCAAGTGGGGATCAGACTAACGGCAGCAGTGGTAATAGTGGCAAAAGTTGAAGAGTAGCAACCGTAGCGATAGTGGTAATACTGGTGGTAGTAGTAGTGGTAGTGGTAGTAGTGGTAGTGGTAGTGGTAGTGGTAGTGGTAGTGGTAGTAGTAGTAGTAGTAGTAGTAGTAGTAGTTGTTGTTGTAGGAGTAGTAGTAGGTAGTTGTTGTTGTT